AGTAAAGCAGCCACTGCCAAGTAAAAGAAAAACCACCAAAGGTCAACCAACATGGGGTACCCATCTCAGGTAGTGGACTCAACAGTGCACAGACTCAGATGTGTGTGCCTAGGCTGCCCTGTAACTAATGGATGCCTTCCTGTCAGTTATGTTCCTAGGGTTCTGGGCCCCAGGAAGAGGAAATACAGAGCCGCAAGGGCTGAAAACTACGCTGCAGAAAAGTTGTGCTCTGAGCATTTCAGGCATGGAAAGCCAAGACACTGTGGCAAAAAATGAGCTACATGAAAGAACTCTGTGAGGGAGATCCTGGTGGAAAGAAGGGGCCACCAAAGAAGGAGGTACCTTTCTTTGGAGGAGAGAACTTCCAATTTGATTATGGCCTGGTCTAAATAATGTCAGAGTTTGTGGACTCAAGAGGCTTCCATAGCCTTAACAGTTCATGACAAGAGACTCAGGTGATCACTTTCCTCATAAATAAGAGTGTTAATTGTTAAATCAACAACAGGAGTCACTGTGCACTTGCTCCCCATGAAGGACCTCTGTCCTTAATGAGTTGTACTATGAGAATTAACTGTAGGACTAGTCTTCAAACAGTACTTTATACTTTGAGTGTCTGTGTGGGTGCAAACTGTTGAAATATTTACTTCGTATATAGTTTTTCTTCTGTATATAAAGATAATTAACAATGAATCTAACATGTGATGGGAGAGGGAGTGGAGGTGGGATGGTTTTGGGGGTGGGAATGTGGGTTTGGGGGAAGAACCACATAATCCAAAGTTGTACTTAAGAAATTTATATTTATTAAGTTGTGCTCTGAATCAGAATGTGTTAGATGCTAGTCATTCTGCCCACACTGAGCGAGATGGAAGTGAGAGAACCCCCCCATACTATCATCCCCATGTTTCTCTGATTTTCTATCCTTGTCCTCCTGATTCTGATAAGGAGATAAGGAATGGATTGGATTTTTGGGAGCACTCCTATACATCTCCTTTTTTGACCCAAGTTCTCATCCCACTGCTTATCACCAACAACCGGCCCAGAAGTCCCTCTCTGGTCTCTCCCATCCTCCACACTAATGAAAGGGACATAGCAACTCTGGTTACCTCACATTCATGTGGAGATATAAGCGCTGTGAAAGGACTTTAGAAAATGTTAATCCTCTGCCTGTGGTGCCAGCATCCCACTTGGGCACCAGATCTAGTCCTGGCTGCTCCTCTTCCAATCCAGCTTTATGCTATGGCCTGGGAAAGTAGTGGAAGATGGCTCAAGTCCTTGGGCCCCTGCACCCATGTGGGAGACCTGGAAGAAGGTCTTGGCTCCTGGCTTCGGATCAGCAGAGCTCTGGCTGTTGCGGCCATTTGGGGAGTGAACCAATAGAAGGAAGACCTTTCTCTGTCTCTCCCTCTCACTGTCTGTAACTCTGCCTCAAATAAATAAAATCTTTTAAAAAAATGAGCTAGCTGAACTGGGGAACTGATGTCTTCCCACATCTCCCGATTTCTACATCACACCGCAGTTCTAGGTGCCAATATTCTAATGGTATCCATGGCCTTTGGTCACTCTGCCTACTGATAGGCCAAGGTACATGTTACCCCAAGAAGAAGGACTATCATATAGAGCCATTTCTTCTCTGTCCTATTTCCCTTGATTATTCTTGAACCTATGCCATGGAACCATTTCCCTGATGGGTGGGGCATGTTTATATCATAAGGGACACTGTGACACGGGCTGGCCTATAAAAGGAGCTGTAGTCCTGGACCCTCATCGTCACTGGTTCTGACTGCTAGGAGCTTCTCTGGACAACATGACAGATAAGCCTCAAATAATTCTTGCCTCCCAATGCCATCTTCCCCCTTATTCCTTATCTTCCCACCAGCCTGACCCTCCTGATCCTGTAGCCCGGCCCCACCTGTCTGGTCCTCCACCCCAGCCTGATCCCGCTACCTCTGTATTTGAGCCTTACCATCCTGCTTTTCCATACTGGCCTCACCCTCCTCCAGGACCTGCACTCCAGCCCAACTATCTGAGTTGGCCATACCATTGTTACTTCCCTTTTGTCCCTTCACACCAGGCAAAAACCCTGGATCCTGCATCTTGGACTCACCCTCCTCCAGTGCCCTCCCCACATCTGACTCCCCTTTTCTTCTCCCAGAGCCTCCTCCCTGTCCAGTATTGGAGCCTTTTCCTCTACCTGCTCCTCCTTACTGGCCCCACCCTCCCTCTGATCCTGCACCGCAGCCTGGCCCTGCTCCTGCACCGCCAGCTTGCCCTCCTGGGCTTCCCCAAAAGTCTCATCCTACTACTAATTCCTCACTCAAATCTCATTCCCCTTCTCATACTGAACACCAACCTTGCCCTTCTCTGTCTCTAAACATAAGCCCTGCCCAACCCTGCTCCCAAGCACAAGTCTCGTCCTCCTGCATCTAAACACAAGTCTCAGCCTCCTCCGGATGTTCCTCTCCGCCTTTCTTTCCCTTATGGCCATGATCTTCGGAAATGCCTTCTAGCACTTCTTGCACAAAAGCCTCACCCTTCTCCTAGCCTTTTACACAGACACAGACACACAGTCACTGCTCTCCACAAGCTTTGTCTTTCCTCCAGTCTTTCTCCACAGTGCCACCTTCCTTCTATCTGGTCAACATGGCACCAGCCTCTCATTGCACCTGTACACCAACCTCACCCTCCTGGTCCCCCACCCCGCTCTCAGCGTCTGCTGCTTCTCTGTGCTGTCCTTGCCTTTCCTCCAGTCTTTCTCCATAGCACCACCCTCCTTCTGTCCCCTTACATCAGCGCCAGCCTCTCATTGCACCTGTACACCAACCTCACCCTCCTCCTGGTCCCCCATCCAGCTCTCAGCATCTGCTGCTTCTCTGTGCCATTCTTGCCTTTCCTCCAGTCTTTCTCCACAGTGCCACCCTCCTTTTGTCCTCTCATGTCGGCACCAGCCTCCTATTGAACCTGTACACCAACCTCAACCTCCTCCTGGTCACCCACCCAGCTCTCAGCATCCTGCTGCTTCTCTGTGCCAGCCTCGCCTGCCTTCTGATCCTGTCCCCAAGCCTTGCCCTCCTCCTGCTCCTCTCTCCCAGCCTCAGCCTCACCCTCCTTCTGACCCTGCCCCTTCTTTTGCTTCTCCCTGCCCGTCCACTGTCCTTTTCCTCTACTCCAGCCTCACCCTCTGGCTGGTCTTCCCTCTCCACTTCAGCCTCCTTTTGAACCTCTGCTCCAGCCTCATCTTCCTTGTCCTCCTCCCAAGCCTCACCCTCCTTTTCTTTCTCTGTATCAGCCATCTCCTCTTTCTGTTCAACTCCAGCCTCAAGGTCCTGCTGTCTCCGCCCCCCAACCTGTCCTTCCTTCTGGTCTGTCATTCCAGCCTCAGCCTCCTCCTCCTTATCCTCCATCTCAGCCTCGTGCTGCTCCTCCTTCTCACGCTCCTGGCCATCCTCACCTTTGCTCTGTACCTTGATGCTTGCCTCACCCTCTCTCTGCTCGTCCCTCCCAGCCTGACCTCCTTCTGATCCTTCCTTCCCTCCCCACCCTCCTTCTGGTCCTTCTCCCTAGCCTCACCCTTCTCTTCCTCTACCCTCCCTCTTCCTCTTGTTCCTCCATAGCAACCTCAACCTTCTGAGACTATGTCCTGTCTGCCCACTTGCCTCCCACACCAGCCTGATCTTCCACAGAAGATCTTCCACATACTAAGATCACATACCTGATCTTAGTATGACCTCTCACCTCAGTCTTGCCCTGCCTCAGGCCCATCAAATTCTAATCCTCTCATCTACCTTCCTCCCAGTTCTCCTCACTTTGTCACCTTTTTCCTTCCATGACAAATGACACTACTTCCAGTATCTGACCTTATTCACTCCATGTCCAGAACTTCAAGATTCTATTCCTATCATACCTAACTTGCTCATTGCCCTGTGTTATCCTACCTGCTTCTATTTGGCCTCTATGTTATCCCCAACTCCTCCTAACAACTCTACTTACTAGTCCTCTATACTCCAACACACCCCCACCCACTTGTGATCCAGTCACCCCATCCGTACCTACTGGTTCACAAATATAATCCCGGAAGGAAGTTTCCTTCCCACTGCGATGGCTCTGGTGAAGCTCACAGTTGTGAAGACTGGACTCCCAGAAGCTCAATGGTGCCTATAGGGGATATGGCACAATGGCACATCATCCCTCAACCAACTACTATTTGGTTCATTACAAGACCCATCTATATGATCAAATCCTGGTTATGTAACTAAAGTATTTTGCCTTCATCCCCACTTGGTTCCTCTTAATACACTAGAGCAGCTTTAACAATCTTCTTTTCTGAACAGGCAGTTAGATCCTCTCCCACCTGATCAATGTGCTTTCATTAGCCTTTACCTTACAACGTGGCTAGAGCAGATCAAAATCCAGGACCATAATGGAGGGGAGAATGAGGGGGATTCATCCCCTCTGTTCCCCAGGAGGGTAAGTTCTGTTGATCTGCAGAGTTAAAGTGAGTGGAAGAAATGGGGAGCCCTGAGAACTCACCTACAGGGCATGAGGATTCCACTGTAGGCAGATGGGGACCTGTGTGGTTTTTGTTTGTTGCTGATTTGGGGGGGGCAGTTGGAGTTGGAGGGTGGTCATTGTAGTTGACTTGATCTGGTTGTGCTCAAACTTTGTTGTTCCTTTTAATCCTCAAATATAACAAAGTACAGAGTCCATAGACTCTTTTCCAATAATCTTGAATGTACACGTTGTTGAATAAGCACGACACAGTCTCTGGCATTGCCCACAGAAATCTAACTTTTATAGTAATTTCCATCTCCTTGGAATTTCAGATAATCCCTGTAGCAGGTGTGTAATGGAGAAGAGGAGTCACTGACTGGCTGGTGGACAATGACATCGTTATTTCCCAGGATGAACTCCGTGAACATTTATGAACTTCCATGGATGATAGCCAATTGAAATTCCATTTACTCCATAGAGAACTTGAGGCACTGAAATGTTGATTCCATTGGATAGATGACATTTAGAGATGCAGTTATCTTTGGCTGGGTTTGCAAGATTGATATAATGAATAGCAATTCTCCTTGCAATATTTCCCAGGGCAAAACCAGTTGGCTTGTTCTGTTTGTTTATAAAAGTAGCCACACATCAATGCTGAGGTTTCATTGAAGATTTCAATTCCCCTGAATTCAGAAGATTGATTCTCTTACTGATAGTCAGCCTGTCTCCACAGTTGCTACCATGGTCACACTGTATCACATCTCTACAGTGAAACTCTTCAGAGTGTTGCAACATCATCATAGAATTTGATAAACAGGCATCCCAAAACTTGAGAGACTCATCCAAGCAACTGTCATCACACTCATGCAACTGTAGACTGGGGCTTTGATCAAATGTTTGCTTCTAACAGGAGTATCATGCTGTGCAATCTGTAGCACTTGGTTGCTATTGAGGTCCTGAATTTTGACACTGCTACATCAAAATACATCACACTGGTATATAAATATACATATACATACATATAAACCTTAGACCCAAGGATTATCATCAATCCTGACATGGCTGCATGAAAACTCCAAATTCCTTGAAATGTTATTGTTTTCCTCCTTTGACATTTTAGATGAATGGGTGTGAAAAACTCCAAGTTACTGAGAATAGCAACAGGAAAACATTATGCTCTCTATATGGTTGCATATTAAGGTCATTATAAAGTGGGTATCGATATTTTGTCAGAAGGGTAAACAGTCTAGTTCTGGAAACAGCCAACGTTCGGGAGTTGAGCCTACCATCAGCCAACAGCCAGGAGCTGAGCCTACCAACAACATTCTGGAGCTGAACCTACCACCAGTCAATGGCCAGGAGCCAAGCCTACCACCAGCCAATGGCCAGGAGCTGAGCCTACCACCAGCTAATCGCCAGGAGCTGAGCCTACCACCAGCCAATGGCCAGGAGCCGAGCCTACCACCAGCTAATCGCCAGGAGCCGAGCCTACCACCAGCCAATGGCCAGGAGATGAGCCTACCACCAGCTAATCGCCAGGAGCTGAGCCTACCACGAGCCAACGGCCAGAAGCTGAGCATACCACGAGCCAACGGCCAGAAGCCGAGCCTACCACCAGCAACATTCCGTAGCTGAACCTACCAGCAGCCAATGGCCAGGAACTGAGCCTACCCCCAGCCAATGGCCAGGAGATGAGCCTACCACCAGCTAATCGCCAGGAGCTGAGCCTACCACGAGCCAACGGCCAGAAGCTGAGCCTACCACGAGCCAACGGCCAGAAGCTGAGCCTACCACCAGCCAAGGGCCAGGAGCTGAGCCTACCACCAGCCAACAGCCAGGAGCTCCCCCACAACCCTGCCACCTGCCCCGGTGCAGAGCAGGGATCAAGACTCCGAAAGCAATTCCAGTAAAAGTTAGGACACACATCCGATCAACTTTAGGATTAAATGGAAGGCAAAAATATAGTCCTGCTATTTGTAAAGCCCACCCTCACCAAGTGTCCAGGCCCCACTCACCTCCCCAGGAGTCCCTGGGCCCCTGAACACCGCCCACCATCCAGCCAGGAACCCCTGAGTTCCCGGGCCCCACCCATCAACCTTGGACTCCCCTCAGCTCCTGTGTCCAGGATTCCAAACTGAATGCTGGGACAGCCTCCTCTCCAACCCCCGTGCCGGGGCCCCGCCCACTATCCCGGACCCTCTAAACCCAACACCTGGGACCCTGCCCACCATCCAGGGACACGCCTCAGCTTCCATCCCCGGGACCCCGCCCATCTTCCTAGAATCTCCTCAGGTCCCTGATCAGGAACCACCCCAAGCCCCTGGGCCCCGCCTACTACCACAGGACCCTCTAAGCCCCATACCTGTGACCATGGCCACATCCAGCCAGGACCCCCCTCACCCACTATCCTGCGACCCTGTAAATCCTATGCCCAGGGCTCCTCCCACCACCCAGTTGGGACCCCTCAGCCCCCGGACCCTGCCCACCATACCAGGACCCTTTAAGCCCCCTGCCCCATCTACCAGGACCCCCCTCACCCACTAACCGGGGCTCTGTAAGGCCCATGCCCAGAACCCCGCCCACCACTCCAGGACCCACCTCTGCACCTGTGCCCGGGACCCCTCCTCGACCCCCGACCCCCGGGCCAAGCCCATTATCCTGGGACTCCCCCTGGCTCCTGTGCCCGGGGCCCGCCCATATCCTCAGAAGCCCCGCCTCAGTCCCCGGGCCCCGCCCATTACTCCGGGACCACTCCTCACCCCGCCCCGTGCCGGGACCCCCGCTCCTAACGTCTGCCGGTGCGTTAAAAAGCGCCGCCGCCTCACCCTCGCCGAGGTGTGCCATCCTGTCTTGTGTTTCTTGCCCAAGGCGGCCCGCTCTGGTCGGGAGGGGGCGCCGCGCCGGGAGCGGCCCCACCGCCGAGCGCTTCCGGGTCAGAGGGCGCGGGGCGCAACAGGATATGCTTGGGGCAAATTCGGAGGCGCGGCTGGGCGCGGGGCTCCGGCGGGGTCCCCTCTGCTTGTGGCGGCGCCGTGGAGGAGGCCGTGGGCGACCTGAATCAGGCGTCGGCCTGCGTGGCTGACCCCACCTGAGGGGCGCGGCCCCCAGCACCGCCAGGGAGGCCGGCAGGCCTGACCCGAGGAGACCCCCCTCCCGCCGCCGCCCCGATCTGGCTTCATCTGAAGGCACCCTCAGGCCACCGTGACCGGAGCAGGAAGTTGGGTTAGGAACGTCCAGCATTAGGAAGAGCAGGAAACGCGGTGATGTCACGGCGTCTTTCAGGGCATTTTGGATTTGCCGTCTTTCCATCCTCAGCCTGTCTGCCTGCCTTGTGCTTGCAGCCGGGGCAGGACCTGGCTTCTGCCTGTCCCGGGCAGCAGGCAGCAGCGCGTAGACCTGCTCCTTTGCGTTGGCTGCGTTCACCCGGGTCTCAGGGATGTGAGGAAAAGACCTTCCCTACCAAACAGCTGTTTTGGGGGCACAGTTCTGGGTGCTGCACACAGTTGCAGTGGGGCCCAGAGACGCCTTCAGGCCAAATGCACTGGCGTTCAGATCAGAGACATCTGCACAAATCGCACCATGGATGCACTTGGGGCCCGCACAGGGCAGGCACAGAGGTGTGACGTCAGAACCAGCTCGGTGGGGCCGGTGCTGTGACGTAGTGGGCTAACCCTCTGACTATGGTGCCAGCATCCCATATGAGCGTTGGTTTGAGTCCCAGCTGTTCCACTTCTGATCCAGCTCTGTCCTACGGCCTGGGAAAGCAGAGGAAGATGACCCAAGTGCTTGGGCCACTCTACCCATGTGGAAGAGCCAGAAGAAGCTCCTGGCTCCTGGCTTCGGATTGGTGCAGCTCCAGCCATTGCAGCTCTTTGGGGGAGTGAACTAGCAGATGAAAGATCTCTCTCTCTCTCTCTCACTGTATTTCTGCTTTTCAAATAAATGAATGTATCTTTTTAAAATAACCCTAGTCCTTTGTTCATCATTAGATAGATATGGTTTCATAATTGATAGATGGAATAAACACATCTGCTAATGAACATGATGGCGTAGATTCCAGAAGGTGCCTGTTGTGCACTGGTTGAAGGAGACTCTTGGATCTGAAACAGTACAGGACCCTAAAGGAGAGAATCAAAGCCAATGACCAGTTAGAAAACACACAGATGTATTAAGTTCCGCTATCAGGAAGAGCTGTTAGTGATACACCCAGGAATGAAGAGATAAAGGAGAAAGACTGTGGCCTCAGATTTTCTTAACCTACACTCAGTAAATGACCTCAGTTGCCAGCTGTAGTCTGATTATGGGAGTAGCAAAACACATAACATGTTTTCCAGTAAAACAAACAAAAATCTACTCAGTATGAACACATCGTGTGTAGAGGACTTATTCTTAAGATAGCCTACTGTCCCAAGAGACAATGGTGAATTCCAACTGTTTCTGTGTTTGGGAAGTCTCTGGGAAAGCAGGAAAGTAAGAAAAGGAAAGATGTTTAGATACCGAAGAGAGCAGAAGGCGTAAAGAGCAAGTTGCTCAAGTTAGACAAGTGGAAATCAGAGTAACACCAACTCCAGGTATCAAAATGAAGGAGAAAATTCTACTTTCACAATCTGGTCACGGAACCAGGATTTCTGGTCCAGGCATTTGAGTCCTACGATTATCAGTGCTTCCTTAGCTCCAGAGCAATGGACCCTTGTGTAGTTTCCAGAGCCTTCTTTATGTCTTTATTCCTCAGACTGTAGATGAAGGGGTTCAGCATGGGGGTGACCACAGTGTACATCACCGAGGCCATGGCAGGTGAGTGTGAATTGTGGATAACAGCTGAAGTGAGGTAGACACCTAGACGTGTGCAATAGAATAAGGAGGCAACAGAGAGGTGAGAGGCACAGGTGGAGAATGTGCTGTACATTGGGATTTAATATAACTATAACTACTCAAACAGTATTTTTCACTTTGTGTTTCTATGTGGATGCAAACTGTTGAAATCTTTACTTAATATATGCTAAACTGATCTTCTGTATATAAAGAGAGTTGAAAATGAATCTTGATGTGAATGGAAGGGGAGAGGGAGTGGCAAAGGGGAGGGTTGCAGGTGGGAGGGAAATTATGGGGGGAAGCCATTGTAATCCATAAGGTGTACTTTGGAAATTTATAGTCGTTAAATAAAAGTTAAAAAAAAAAAAGAAAAGTGTCAGAGCAGGCAGTTGGGCCACTTGATGCCAGTGCCACAGGCGGAGGATTAACCAAGTGAACCATGGCACTGGCCCCCTGATTCATTTTTTAACATTATTTACTATAACATGAAGAGAACAGATTTAATGCACTTCATGGATACAATTCTAAGAATAGCATGATATTTCCCTTCCTCCCTTCCTTCCTCCCTCCTGCTTCTCCTCTCTCTCTCTCACCCTCTCCCTCTTTCCCCCACTCTTTCTTTCTTTCACATTTTTGAGATGACATATTTTTACTGTTCTTTCTGTGTATTGCTTCAGTTTTCTAAGATTAAAAAGTCCTTTAAATATTAAAAAAATTTAAACATGTAAAAATGAGGTCCCATTTGAGTACCTGCCTACATTGTTTTATGTCCAATCAGTGTGCGTCTATGGGTACATATATCTATCTACTCAAAAATGAGGCACTTCTTCAGGGTCTAAAACATCCAAACCCCTACTTTCTAGTTCTGTTTCAGAGAAATTCCTTATGCACTTCCATTATCTTTGTTGCCCTACCGTGCAATAGAACCCAGCAATGTCTTACTTCTCCCTAACTGTAACCTAGTGAACACAGAACAAGCTTTCTCCACCCCTGGCCCACATCTCCCTCTCCATTCTCTAACATCCACCATTGGACTTTATCATTGTGTTTGAAAAGGCACCCAGTGATTTGAACGGGATTCCTTCTAGGTACCGTATGTTGATTGAGTTCTTGTCTGAGTAACATTAAGTGTCACCTTGGAATAATGATTCCAGGTAACTCAGCTTGAACACCATTCTCATCTCACAGCAGGTACACACAAGCACACAAACACACAGAGACAAACACAGACACAGATACCATGCCCTTCTCATCCCTAGCTGCAGGGATAGGGCAACATGTGACATGACACACGCGGGCCACATCAAGTTCTTTCCCACAAAAAAGTGTAAATGCCACCCACAAGTTCCAGCTTGAAAACCTCATATGAACAAATAAACATGGGACTCTATTCTGGTACGGTCATTTTCACCCTTTTATTTTTCTTCATTTTTATTTGAAAGGGAGAAAGAAGGAGAGAGAGGATCTGGCATTGTGGTGTAGTGGGGTTAAACCTTGGCCTGCAATGTCGGCATCCCACATGGGTGCTGGTTCAAGACCCAGCTGCTCCACTTCAGATCCAACTCCCTCCTAATGCACCTAGGAAAGCAGAAGATGGCCCAGGTACTTGGGCACCTGTGTACATGTAGGAGACCTGGAAGAAGCTCCTGGCTCCTGGTTTCAACCTGGCCCACCCTGGCCATTACAGCTGTTTGGGGAGTGAACCAGTGGATGCTAGATATATTCATTCTCTCTCTCTCTCTCTCTCTCTCTCTCTCTCTCTCTCTCTCATCTCTCTCTCTCTGTAACTCTGTCTTTCAGATAAATAATTCTTTTAAAAAGCGAGCAGGAAATGAATCTAATGTTATCACTTCACTTATGTGAAGTTCCTAACATGACTCTGAGTGGAAAAGCTGACAAAGAGTGGAGAATAAAGAACTGATGCCACATGATGGTGGAGGCAATGCAACCTTCAGAAATAGATATAACTAGAAAAGCCCAGAGACACCGTAGGAAATAACAGGAAGAGATGGATATACATATACACAAGATGATTTGTCAGCTTGGAAGAGGTCAGGAACATTCTGCATCAACAAAGCAAAGGCAGGGGTAGGGCAGTAAGACAGTCTTATGGACCTGGTAACACACTTCCCTCAAACATTCACACACACGTGCACACACATGCACACACACAAGCACAAACATACACATGAAATGGCAGACAGCAATGTTTTCAGTTTCAAACACAATCTCTTGGTTGGAATCTGTCTCATCACCAGAAAATATCAATCTGCACCATTTCAAATATTAAAGATGGCAGAGGTGGATGTCTGGTGCTGCATTTAAGCTGCTGCCTGGGACACCCACATCCCAGATCAGGAAGCCCGGGTGTGAGTTGTGGCTCTGCTCCTGATTCCAGCGTCCTGTTAATACATCCTCTGGGAGGTTGCAATGATGACTCATCTACATGGATTTTCTGCCAGTCACACAGGAGACCCACACTGAGCTCTGGGCATGGGACTTCTTTGGCCTGGCCCAGTCTTAGCTGTTGTAGGCATTTTCAGAATGAACTAGAGGAGAGTGACTCTCTCTTTTGTTTGTATGTCTTTGTCTATTTCTTTTTGTTTCTCTCCCAAATAAAATAAAGATAAATAAATATTAAAACAGAAATGTCCTCCATTGCCTGTCTTTCCCCCCAGAGCTGCCACACTCTTTCTTTGTTTTTTTTTTTTTTATTTTGTTTATTTGAAAGGCAGAGTTACAGACTCACACACACACAGAGGGAGGGAAGGAGGGAGGGAGGAAGAGGGGGGAAGGAAGGGAGGGGGAGAGGGAGGGGGAGAGAGAGAGAGAGAAAGAAAGAGAGAGAGATCTTATATCTGCTAGTTCACTCCACAAATGGCTGCAATGGCTGGAGCTCGGCAAATCCAAAGTCAGGAGCCAGGAGCTTCTTCTGGGTCTCCCACATGGGTGCAAGGTCCCAACGACTTGGGCCATCTTCTGCAGCTTTCCCAAGTGCATTAACAGGGAGCTTGATCGGAAGAGGAGCAGCTGGGACTAGAACCAGCACCCATTTGGGGTGCTGGCACTGCAGACAGAGACTTAGGCCACTACACCACAGTGTCAGCCCCCACCCTCTTTCTTTATACTCCTTAATTGTCAAGATTCTTGGATTCCTGTTCTAATTTTACCAGAACTGTTTTGTGCTTCTTAATTCCTGCTTCAACAGGCTTCCACTAGGACCATCTAATTGTCAACAAGGAATCCCGTGTTGCTGGTTTCAGTGAACACTCCTGTGTTTTAAAACCATGAATAAATGCAATAATTCAGCATGAGAGCAAACAAATACATCAATCTCTCTATCTGAAATAGACTGGATTGGCTATCAGGTGACCTTGGGTAAGCATTCTCAACTTCCACTCTGGGCCTTTCCTGCAGGGCCTGCTGGGCTCTCAGACTCACCTGTGTGGGTTCTCTGGGAGGAAGGTCTCTGGGCAGAGGTGTGACTCCTCCAGGGATGGATGATGATGGACACTGAAGCTCTGTCCCACACAGACAGCAGGAAGGAGTCAAACATCAGTCCCTGAGCCAGATGAAGATTATGGTGAATTTACAGCTCCCCGTCTCTGCACAGTAGGCACATCCTCCTCATGGGGCTCAGACCTATGAGCACCTGATTTCCCGGTAGGGACCCTGATTTGGGCAGAAACTTTCTGACCAATCCTCTGTTCCCAAGAGACCAGATTGAAGTCATGTGTGCTCAGAGTTGATTATTCCTTCTCTGTGGATTCTCCTGCCTCCCAGAGGTCAAAGCTTTCAGCCACTGACCCTATTTGATTCAACACTTTCTCCAGAATGCAAGATGGAAGAACTCATCTTCAAGAAGTCCCTAGGGTTCTCCAATCCAACAGTTTGGTTGGGGACGCAGCAGCAGGCATGTCAGGAAGAATGGTATTTCCCTCTTCAAGAAGGGGAAAACTGTTTCTCTATGTAAAACAAGGGCTCCTCAATTGTAATGAGTTAGAATTTTCTATAACAATTTTTTATAAATACGACTTTAAGAATATAGTGCTTCTTCCCACCATGAATTAGAAGTCATGTTGCATTTTGGCTGCTGTCACTTAGTTTTCCATATGTCTGTGAGTTAAAAGAGAAGTATCTGTATTTTATTTAACACAATTTATGGGGGACACTGAACATTGGGCACATGCATACACAGTGTTATGATTAAATCAGTGTAATTAGCCTATTGATCACCTCAAATGAGAATTTCTTTGAGATGGGAACATTCAGAATCCTCTCCTGTAGCTATTTTGGGATATACTGAGCCTTATTGTTAACTGTAGTCATCCTACTGTGCAGTAGCCACCAGAGTGTATTCCTCTCGTCCATCAGAATCTTGTACTAATTGACCAGCCACCCCCAGGTTCCTCTTCTCCTACACTCCCTGGCATTGGCTAACCACTCTTATCTATTTCTATAAGACCAACTCTGCAAGATTCTACTTACCAGTGAGTCACGTGGTATTTGTCCTTCTGTGCCTGGCTTATTGCTCTTATCATGATGTCCTCCAAGGGCATTCATGTTGTCTAGAATGACAGAATGTCCTTCTTCCAGTAGCTGAACAGTATCCCATTGTGTATTAACATGCCGTGACTGAGAAAGAACTGCTAAGATTAATTCTATTCACAACAGCTACAAAAAAATTAAATCCCTTGGAATAAATTTAACCAAGAAGGTCAAAGATCAAAAATAATCTTTAAAGAAAGAAAAAGAAGACACACACACACAAAAAAATGGGAAAATGGATTCATGGATTGGAAGACTCAATATCATCAAAATGTCCATACTACAGAAAGCAATTTACACATTCAATGTGATCCCAATCAAAATATCAAGGACATTCTTCTCAGGCATAGAAAAAATGATGCTGAAATTCATATGGAAGCATGAGGCCCTGAAGAGCTACAGCAATCTTACACAAAAAAAAAGCTGGAGGCATCATAATACCAAATTTCAACATATACCACAGGGCAGTTATAATCAAAATGACCTGATACTGGCAAAAAAATAGATGTGTAGATCAATGGAATAGAATAGAAACTCCAGAAATCAATCTACACATCTAGAACCAACTTATCTTTGACAAAGGAGCTAAAAGCAATCCCTGGAGCAAGGACAGTCTCTTCTATGAATGGTGCTGGGAAAGCTGGATTTCCACCTGCAGAAGTAGAAAGCAAGACCCCTACCTTACACCTTACACAAAAATCCACTCAAAATGGATCAAAGACCTAAATCTATGACACAATACCATCAAATTACTAGAGAACATTGGAGAAACTCTGGAGGACATTGGCATAGGCAAAGACTTCTTGGGATATACCCCAGAAGCATAGACAATCAAAGCCAAAATTGACAAATGGGATTACATCAAGCTGAGAAGTTTCTGCACTGCAAAAGAAACACTCACCAAAGTGAAGAGGCAACTGACAGAATGGGAGAAAATATTTGCAAACTATGCAACTGATAAAGAATTAATAACCAGAATCTACCAAGAGCTCAAAAAACTCAACAACAACAAAACAATCCAGTTAAGGAATGGGCAAAGGACTTGAACAGGTATTTTTCAAGAGAGGAAATTCAAAAGTCCAACAACACATGAGAAAATGCTCAGGATCACTAGCCATCACACAAATGCATATCAACTTGTGTAAGCATGGGGACTAATTTATGTGTGTGCAATTCTTTCCAAGTCAACCTGGTACCATGTAAACTACAGCTAATCGTGTATATGAACATAAACATGCATGTGGACATAATACACATTGTGAGTTCACCTGAATGCATGGAAACATCCAGAACATCTTGGGGCTGGCAATGCTGTGTAGCAGACTAAGCTGCTGCGTGGCACCAACATCCTATATGAGCACCGTTCAAGTCATGGCTGCTGGACTTCAGACCAAGCTCCCTAATAATGCACCAGGGAAAGCAACAGAAGTTGGCCCTAGTGCTTAGGTCCCTGCACCCATGTGGGAGATCTAGATGGAGCCCTGAAATTCTGGCTTTGGCTTTGGCTCTGCCCAGCAGTGTTTATTGCAGCCCTTTGGGGGAGTAAAACATCAGACAGAAGGTCTCCCTCTCTCTCTCTCTCAACATCTCAAACTTTCTGTATATCTGTATTTCAACTAAACAAATTTTTGAAAAAATACACACATGACCACAAAGTTTGGTAACTTTGATTTTCTCCATGCAGCAGGTCTGGAACATAATGTTCCCTTATTTGACAATTCCATCAAAACCATACCTTTACAAGGGGAAGAAACCAAAGCTGCTCTGATTGACAGTTACAGCCCTCTACAGAGGACAGAGTAAGAAATTTATATCAAATGGGGGAAGGAAGTAAATTGTTCTCAAGGATTTTGGGTGTTTTTTTTAATGGGAAACACAGATGATGACAAAGATGGATGTCAAGGGGTGTGTATTGTCCTAGCAGTGGAGATAGTTTCTAGGAGGCCCACATTTCATTTCATACAGTATGGGGTTCGATCCCCACTGTGCTTCAGATTCAACTTCCTGCTAATGCACATCTTAGGAGCAGCAGGTGGTGGCCCACATTTGTGGGTCTCCACTGTCCACATGGGACAACTGGCTTGAGTTCTGAGCTCCTGGCTTTATCCTGGCCCACACTCACCTGTGTGGTAATTTTGGTGTAAACCAATGAATGGAAGATCTGTCTTTTACTGTCTTTGTCTCATTGCCTTTCAAATAAACATCAACAAATAAGCTTTTAAATGTGACACATCAACACGATGAATGGTATTCAGCCAAAAAGCAGAATGTAGTGCTCTCATTTTAGAAAAACACGGACAAACACAGAGATCATTAGAATAAGTGAATAAGCCAAGCACAGAGGAGAATTACCACGTGATGACACTTGTGAGCAGAAAGTTGATTTCATAGAAGTGGACAGTGGAATAGTGGTCAGCAAAGATCAGGGTGAGCAGGTGGCAGGGTGTGATGGCAGAGGTTGGTTAGTGCATTCAACGTTTCAGTTGGATGAGAAGAGAACCTCTGACATCTACCACCCAGTAGGGTGACCACAGTTAACAACGGTGCTCCCTGTGTTCCAAATAGCTAGAAGAGAGGATTCTGAATGTTCCCAACTCAAAGAAATGACTCAAAGGTGATGGGTTTGCATTGATCACAGCACAATGTATATGTGCATCTAGACAGTGAATGGCCCCCTACACTATGTGTCAACTAAAAAAAAAAAAACATATATCAGCTCATCTCTTCTAATTGACAAACATTTGCTAAAGTAGTTCTTTTTTTTAAAGATTTATTTCTCTCTCGCTCTCTCTCTCGCTGTCTCTCTGCTCTCTCTTGGCTTCTCTCTTGCTCTCTTTTCTGCGCTCTTCTCTCCTATCCTCTCCCCCTCTTGTCTCTCTTCTTTCTGCTCTCTCTCTTCTCTCCTGACTAGCTCCTCTCCTCTCTCTCTCTTACACTCTCCTTCTCTCTCTTTTCCTTCTTCACCCCTTCTCTCCAGCCTGCTGGGTTTTCCCCAATAAACCCTTTCCCTTAAAGAAAAAGATTTATTTATTTGAAAGTCAGAGTTACAGAAAGGCAGAGGCAGAGAGAGAGATAGAGAGAGGTCTTCAACCTGCTGGTTTACTCCCAGATGGCTGCAATGGCCGGAGCTGCATAAACAGCAGTTCTTAAAGTGTGCTGTAATATTCTATTTTCTGGCAAAAGTGTGATGAAGCTAAGAAATACAATGATGTTTTACATTAGAGAAATAGTTTCTCCTTTTTTTGAAAATGGTTTTTAAATGTTTGCAAATATGGACTGGTGAATGCTAATTTGTTATCAAAGGTTGAGAACAAGAGAGAGGGAGATCTTCCATCCCCTAGTGTGATCCCCAATGGCCCATGACAGCCAGAAGTGGGAAAGTGGATCAGGACCCACTATCTGGTTTTCCCATGTGAGTGCCAGTGACCCAGCTATGTGAGCTATCACCTGCCTCCCACAGAGAGCATCAGTAGAACCTGGATTGAAAGTGGTGCCTACACTTGAAAAAACAGACCCCTTGTATCAGTCTTGGGCATCCAAAAGGCATCTTAATGACTACAACAAATGTCTGCCATAGTTTTCCCTTCTTGAAGAGGGAGGGAAATGTGAAGTTTTGTAGATATCAGAAGCTGCATTCCCAAGAGATGTTTGAAAGCTGTAGGCAACTAACAAGGTAAGTTCTTCCACCCTGGAGAAAACATTAACTCTAGAAAATAAATTGGTGGGAGATTTGACCTCTAGAGGTGGAGGAGTTCACAGAGAAAGAATAATGACAGCTAAGTACACACCTGACTTCTTACCTCGTCTTTTGGTCATAGAGAATCAGCAGGGAATAAAATGTTTTTTTTTTTTTTTTTTTTTTTTTTTTTGGACAGGCAGAGTTAGACAGTGAGAGAGAAACAGAAAGAAAGGTCTTCCTTTTTCCGTTGGTTCACCCGCCAAACGGCTGCCACGGCTGGTGCACTGCACCTATCCAAAGCCAGGAGCCAGGTGCTTCCTCCTGGTCTCCTATGCGGGTGTGCAAGGCCCAAGCACTTGGGCCATCCTCCACTGCCTTCCCGGGCCACAGCAGAGTGCTGGACTGGAAGAGGAGCAACCGGAACAGAATCCAGCGCTCCAACTGGGACTAGAACCCGGTGTGCCAGCGCTGCAGGCAGAGGATTAGCCAAGCGAGCTGTGGTGCCGGCAATAAAATGTTTTTTTTTTCTTCCCACAGCAGTGTCCCTGCAGGGAAATCAGGAGTGCAGAGGCTGGAACACCAAGAGGGAGCTGTGCCTAATGAACAGAGACAGGGAGCTGTAAATACCACCCTCCACTATGGACCATCAAGTGTACAACCCTGACCTGCACAAAACACAGTGGTTGCTTTTGGAGTCTTGATCTGACTCTGGAACCACTGCTATACTCCTTCCTGCTGTTTTGTGACTTCTAAAGCTTCCCTCTCCATCATCAGAGATCCAGGGAGGAATCATTTGTCCATATGGGGGTGCTCTTCTGAGAGAACCCATCTAGGTGAGCCTGAGAGCCCACTCACTACTGCAGTAAAGGCTCCGGGAGAGTGGAAGCTGAGAATGTTTCCGTGAAGTCACCTGATGTCCAAGCAAGTCTATGTCAGATAAACAGGTTGTATTCTTACTCTGCTTGCTTGATAATTATTCACTGTATTTATCTGCGATGCTGGAAAACAGAAGTGTTCATTGAAACCAGCCATCCAGAACTCATAGTTGGCAACAAAATGATGGTACTGGAAGAACAGATAGAGCACAGATTGAGAAGTGGCTCCAGAAAAGTATAACAATGATCCGAGGGAAGAGAAAAACAGGATGGTGACTCTGGGAGGATATAAACGAAGTAAGTTCAAATGAGAAGCATATGCTAGAGATTAGAAAGGAAAGCTGTATATAGCCCAGCCGGAGGAAAGCAATAACCTATAGATTACAAAATCAATGAAGGAATCCCTACCTGGCTCAGCTGCAATTTGATCCTTCACACTCAGGTCTGTGGTGGAAGATAAGTTGAAGCATTTCAAAAGCAGAAGACACCAAGCTTCTAAGATTTGAAGAAGACAAGTCCATGAAACCCAGCAGAGTCAGGTGGTAGCTGAGACACCAGTGCAGCATGGATGAAAGTCTTCAAGGAGCTCCTGTAGGTCTCTGTACAGTGTAAATACCTCTACCATTTCAGGAGGGCTGGGCTGCCCAGTGACACGTGGCAAATAGAGATTTTGCATGAAAGTGCCTTTGTGCACTGTCTTCAGCTGTGGTGCAAGAGCTGCCCTGTGAGTCCCAAGGGCTGTTCTGCAGAGAAAACTAGTTGGTACAGGCAGTGCAGGGACAGGTGGCTCACATCCTGCGTCTCTAGCCTACAACCAGGATTTCCTGGGAGTTAAGCTCTTGTTTGTCTTCTCAATTTACTGAGTGTCTTGCCTGCAGTGCCCACATTCACCTGGATTTTCATCCAGAATCCAAGGTGCACAAGAAGGAAGTTGTGGGTGCTGGGGTCACTGTGGACATACCACCCGTGGTGTCTGTAGGCACTGGGGGCTATGTGGAAACCCCTCAAGGCCTCAGGATCTTCAAGACCATCTTCGCAGCCGGTGCCATGGCTCAATAGGCTAATTCTCCACCTGCAGTGTGGGCACACCGGGTTCTAGTCCCGGTAGGGGCGCCGGATTCTGTCCCAGTTGCCCCTCTTCCAGGCCAGCTCTCTGCTGTGGCCCGGGAGTGCAGTGGAGGATGGCCCAAGTGCTTGGGCCCTGCACCCCATGGGAGACCAGGAGAAGCACCTGGCTCCTGCCTTCAGATCAGCGTGGTGCACTGGCCGCAGCAGCCATTGGAGGGTGAACCAACGGCAAAGGAAGACCTTTCTCTGTGTCTCTCTCTCTCAGTGTCCACTCTGCCTGCAAAAAAAAAAAAAAAAAAAAAAAAATCTTTGCTATGAGTAAAAAAGGTGCTTCTGTTAAGGACGGGCAAGAAGCTCGGAAAGCCTTCACCAAACACTGTAAGGAATGGCAGGACCACACTGGCAAGCAGCAGCTGGGAAAGGACGTCTATAGCATGAAGAAGGTCAGTGGAGTCACTGCTCACACCCAGATGCACCTGCCGTCTTCTACACCAGGAGAAACTTCACCAACAATGTCTCTTTGTCACGCAATGAACTGGTTGGTTCTGAAGAGGTCACAGCTGCTGATAATAAGAGGCTTTGCATTTTTATATGGTGCTTCTCTTGCTGCATGTGAAAATGCCTCTTTTCTCTGTCACTCTGCCCTTCAAACAAATAACCTTTAAAAAATCATGGACTTCCTCTTAGTTTTTTTCCTCCCTGATTTTTGGAAGGAGATGCACACAGCACCTTGTAGAATCTTGAAATCTTCCTGTTTCTATCTGCATCCAAGTAGATCATGGACTCAGCCACAGACTGTTTCATATTCTAGCTGGTGACAGATGAAGGACTGGTCATTTATAATTTTCAGCTTTCTGGACCAAAAAGCTACTTTCAGCAGGTTTTTTTTTTTTTTTTTGCAGTTTTAATGGTTTATTTAAACACAAATGAAATGTGCACAGGAGCTATCCATTTTCTTCACTATTCAGCCTGGCATTGGGATCAGTGACTGATGGCCAGCTGGGCTGCTTTCCATGATGGCTTTGTGGTTCGTGGAGGAAACACTGAGCAATCTCACACGGTAAGATCTGTTGTGTATCAGCAACACCTCCAGTTCCTTATTAGTCTGATGGTGCAGGATGAGCTTGTTGGTCCTCTTTTTGTCAATCTTAGGCTTCACAAGGAGTCTGAGGGCAGCCATGATACTCTCATGAGGAGTAGTATACTGTCCAGGTATGACGAGGAATATGTGGCTCCCCTCTGTAAAGTGCTGGGTCAAACTGCAAGATACATTATCTTAGGGACCAGCGCTGTGGTGCAGCAGGCTAATGCCCTGGCCTGAAGTGCCGGCATCCCATATGGGCGCCAGTTCTAGTCCCAGCTGCTCCTCTTCCAATCCAGCTCTCTGTTCTGGCCTGGGAAAGCAGAAGACAGCCGAAGTCCTTGGGCCTCTGCACCCACACGGGAGACCTGAAAGAAGCTCCTGGCTCCTGACTTCGGATCGGCGCAGCTCTGGCCATTGCAGCCAATTGGGGAGTGAACCATCAGATGGAAGACTTCTCTTTCTCTCTCAGCCTCTCCTCTCTCTATGTAACTATGAATTTCAAATAAATAAATCTTTTAAAAAAGATATATTATCTTAGAGTATCATTGAGTTCCATGATTTCAGCTTGGTTATCACCATGATATCAACAGTTGAAGCACTGATTATGTTTACCATGTTCTGGTCATGATACCAGTCATACCACTGGAAAACTGCCAGCTGAGGTATAGACACCAATGTGCCTAATTTGGCATGACACAGTGTCACTGCCTGTCTTGCCCAAAGGAGTCTCCAACTCATTGTGGTGACACAAAAGCAGTCGACATAGTCTCTTAAGCAAGTCATATGCATCCAGCAATCTGCCACCAATTCTAAGCACCAATGTGCCTAATGTGGCATGACACAATGTCTCTGCCTATCTTGCCAAAAGGAGTCATCAACTCGTCATGATGAACAATGCCACAGTCTACATAGTCTTATAATTGAGCCATATGCATCCGGCAATCTGCCACCCATTCTAGGCAGTTCCATGAGACCATGAAATTGTCCATGTCCATCCCACAAACAGCGAGTGGCTGCTCAATGTCCTGCACAGTAGATTTTGCCATCAGGATTTCTTTCTCGGTCTCATGGTGCTTCTTGATCTGGGATGGCAAAGCTGGTTGGATGAGTTCCAATGCTCAATCCATCAGCCTCATGCCTCTGTGAATACCTTGTTTTCCATGACACCACCTGCCCAAGATGAGCTGTCATGATGTGTTGCTCCCAAGTCACAGCTGCTCGAACACAGGGCACCATCAAAAATTCTTCAGGGGAAAATGATGACGCATTTAGAATAATAACCTGAAGATAGTTACATAGGCAGCATAAGTGTCTCAATGGAAGAACATCTTCGGTAAACATAATCTATAGTAAGTCTTTCATATCTGGTGATTTGCCACCAACTCTCAACAGTTTCAGATTGTGAAACTACCTGTTGCACGTCACAGTACCAGTTGAGGGCTTCTGGCTCTTCCTGCAAGGCTCAATTATCAGTTGCTTCAGGTCCAGAGCTTGTCCCTGTAATGAGGACAGTCATTTTGAACACAAGCAATAGGACCTACCAAAGTTCACAGCACAGTGTAATGTGTGTGTGTATATATGTAACATATAATATATATGAGAAATATAAATATTACATATGTATTATATATTTTCTGGAATATGCTCTGCCAGTCCTGGAATTTGAATGTCCACTGGAGAGGAAGTTGGTGCATTTATGTCATACGGTACATGAGGATTTTCAGGAGGACACAGAAGTGCATCTTTATTTCCTTTATCATTTTCCCCTACTCAAGATTTGCTCTAGGGATTGCCTTATGAATTATAAGTGGCTTAGTGGCAACAGTAGTAAGGAAAGCAAGAAAGAAGAATCAGAAGTAGATTATACACTATAATATCTCAGAAAGCAAAGGAAATACAGAAGGATGTGGGAAAGGTAAGTATATCTCAGGCAATACTGTGTATGGATTGTGAGTTCTGTGTCTTTTATACACAAAATCTGTCAAACATCCAAATTCATAGTAGAGTATCTTAGCAAGACGCACAAATATTGTGATTAAGGTTTGGTGTAGGGTAATGACTACGTGGAAGGATTTGTTCCACTGCTTCCTGTGGAAGATGTCCAGTGGCTGGTCTCAGGAAATCAGCTCCAGTACTCAAGTGTTCTACTCCCATACAGTCATTCCAGAGGAAGGTTTCCATCAGGCACAAAGTATAATTGTTAATTATCCTACAAGCATGTGAGATTGTGATGTTGACATTTTGCTTATAGTTTTTGTCTGGACAGAAGGTGTAATTATTACCCATTTAGATCAGCATGACATATATCAGGATCAATATCAATATCAGAGTTGTGGGTACAGAAAGTAATATCTGAAGGGGCTCAAAGTCAATAAAGGAAAGGACAGAAAGGGAACAAGCCAATCTGACACAGAAGCTCTGGCTAAGTTTCCCTTGATGTATGTATTACTTACCATGGTAGGTAGATTCTTCACTATAAATCTGTTCAGCAGTACTAGGATGATAGCTGGCTATTCAGTCTGGCTCTGTTACTATTGCTTTTTCACATTTCCCACTTGTAATATTGTTGTGAAGGTTTAAACCAGGCTGATATTGCCATATTTTAGTGAGGCACTTGTTTCTTTTTGCTTAAGGGACTGAGATATTTGTTCTATAATCCTAGGTTGTAAAATTGTTATCTTGTTAAGTGTATTGCCTACCACAGGTAAGAAAGCCATCACCAAGTCTTTCTTAGGAGAGCTGCCCAAGTATCCTGGCATTGCACAACACTGTGTGTTCCACCAAGCACACTGAGCACGCCAAGTGCACTAAGTCGTCTTGAGCTCATGCTATGCTTCCAAAAGTATAAAACTTGCTCCAACTTAGGTTTAAGTGATCCTTAAACTTGGGTTTAAGTGGATCTGACTGGTGGAGTATTTTTAGGTTGTAATTTTTTAGCACTAAAGGTAAATCTTGTAGTGCCTTGTAGATCTTCAGCTAATGTAAATGTCTAAATGTAAAAGCAAATGTTTTTTTCTCTGGTAAAACAGAAGAGAAGTTTTCTTTAAGGGTAGGGTGCACAGCTAGTTATAAAAATCATAACTAATAACATAACAATTTTAGGGAAAAGAAAAATAAAATTGGTCAGAGAAGATGCCCCAAGTGCTTGGGCCCCTGCACCCGTGTAGGAGACCTGGAAGAAGCTCCTGGCTCCTGGCTTTGGATCAGCCCAGCTCTGGTTGTTGTAGCAGGGAGCTGGATCAGAGGCAGAGTAACCAGGATTTTTTAATTATTATTTTACTTAAGTTATACAATTTTCATGTATTTCATTTATGCAGACTTAGGGACACAGTGATACTTCCCCCCCCCCTTCCCACCCATGCTGTAACCCTTCCTCCTCCTCCCTCTCCCACTCTTAATATTTACAAAGATCTGTTTTCAGTTTGATTAATGATCATAAATAAGAGTTCAACAAATACTATGAAGGAAAAAAAAACACTTGTTTCTCAACAGTCGATCATCGAATCTCAGAACATCCATTTCACTCTAATACATTACCTTTAGGTACTGTATTAGTTACCTTGGATCAGGAAAAACATGATATCGGACTTCTGGAACTGGGTCATTTCACTAAGTATAATGGTTTCCAGTTGTATCCACTTTGTTGCAAAAGACAGGCTTTCATTTTTTTTTACAGCTGAGTAGTACTCCATAGTGTCTATATACCATAATTTCTTTAGCCAGTCATCAGTTGATGGACATCTGAGTTGATTCCATGTCTTAGTTATTGTGAATTGAGCTGCAATGAACATGGACGTACAGATAACTCTTTCTTTTTAAAAAAATTTATTTATTTATTTGAAAGTTGGAGTTACACAGAGAGAGAAGGAGAGGCAGAGAGAGAGGTCTTCCAACCTCTGGTTCACTCCCCAATTGGCCACAATGGCCAGAGCTACACTGATCCAAAATCAGGAGCCAGGAGCTTCCTCCAGTCTCCAACATGGGAGCAGGGGCCCAGGGGCTTGGGCCATCTTCTAATGCTTTCCTAGGCCAAAGCAGAAAGCTGGGTTGAAGTGGAGCAGCCAGGATTCGAACTGACACCCATATGGGATGCCGGCACTGCTGATTTCTTTTGGCTTGGGTAAATTCCCAGGAGTGGGATGGCTAGATGGGCCAAGATCTTGAACAGGCATTTTTTCAAGAGAGGAAATCCAAATGACCAACAGACACATGAAAAAATGCTCAGGATCACTACCCGACAGGGAAATGCAAATCAAAACCACAATGAGGTTTCACCTCACCCCAGTTAGAATGGGTTTCAGACAGAAATAAAAAAATAATAAATGCTGGTGAGGATGTGGGGGAAAAGGTACCTTAATCCACTCTTGGTGGGAATGCAAACTGGTGCAGCCACTGTGGAAGGCAGTATGGAGTAAGCAGGATTCTAACCAGCACTCTGATAGGAGACTCAGGTGTGGCCACAGCCCTGTTCCCCGCCCCACCCCCAGCTTGAGATGTCCATCCCTCTCACAGGAGTCACACCAGGAAGTGTCCCTGTTCATCAGCCTTCAGAGAAATGCAAAACACACCAGCCCTGAAGGCGCCTGTCAAAGTCTTCCCAGGGTGGCTTGGAGATTTATGAGCTGAAAATAAAACCTTGCATTCACCAGCTATAAAAACATTCTCTCTTGGGGCGCTGTAGCATAGTTGGTAAAGCCACCACCTCCAGTGCCAGCATCCCACATGGGTGCCAATTCAAGTCTCAGCTGCTCCACTTCTGATCCCGCTCTCTGCTATAGCCTGGGAAAGCAGCAGAAGATGGCCCAAGTCCTTGGGCCCCTGCACCCACATGGGAGACCCAGAAGAAGCTCCTGAATCCTGGCTTCAGATCTGCTCAACTCTGGCCATTGTGGCCATTTCAGGAGTGAAACAGCAGATAGAAGACCTCTCTCTCTCTCCCTCTCTGTAACTCTGCCCCTCAAATAAATAAATATTTTTTAAAAATGAAATGGACAGAGAAGGAGAGTGAGAGCGAGAGAGACTGACTCTCAGTGGCCCCCCAAAGGGTAATATTTTATGATATGAATCAAGTGCATGTCCTAGAAAATTCCTGTGACTGGAGTCTCTGGAATCTTCCCCCTGCTTCTCTGCTGCAACGCTACCTTGTGATAGAGGCGTTGCTTATCAGCTGTTTAAACTCTCAAGATTAAACTGTCCTTATGCTTTTCTAAAGAGAAGCTAACCATCCAAATTCTTTCAATATTACATCTTTGGCCCACTTTCTGAGAAAAGAAGAATATTGAATTTAATACTGAATTTTTTTTAATGTGCAAAAACCTAGTTCTGCTTTTTAAAGCAAGTAAAAGGAATAAAAATATGCCACCATCCCAATGATCTAATGACAGAAACTCCGACACTATTTAGACAGGGCTATAATCAAAGTGGAAGTTCTCTCCTCCCTTCAGAGAAAGGTACCTCCTTCTTTGATGTTGGGCCATCTTCTGCTTTCCTAGGCCACAGCAGAGAGCTGGATTGAAAGTGGAGCAGCCAGCACATGAACTGGCGCCCATATGGGATGCCAGCACTGCAGGCAGTGGCTTTACCCGCTATGCCACAGCACTGGCCCCAAGCTATTCTTCTTACAAGAAGACATTACAATTTCCCAGTCTTAAAAAATTTCCTGTGACACACCAGATAAAGCCACCTGGAATGTCAGCATCCCATATGGGTGCCAGTTCATGTCCCAGCTGCTCCACTTCCAATCCAACTCCCTGCTAATACACCTGGGAAAGCAGCAGAAGATGGCCCTCATCCTTCGGTCCCTGCACCCACACGGGAGACCTGAAAAAGCTCCTGGCTCCTGGCTTATATCTGCACTAGCCCTGGCTATCGTGGCTATTTCAGAAGTGAACCAACAGTAGGAAGATTTCTCTCTCTCTCTCTCTCTCTCTCTCTGTCTCTCACAATTCTCCCTCTCTGAAACTCTGCCTTTCAAATAAATAAATCCTTTTTTAAAAAAATATGTTACACATACATACATTTCCAATAAATTAGAATACTACTCAAAATGACAAGCCCTGTGTGGTGTTTACCTCCACTATCCCTTGGTGCTCTGAACTTGAACATCCCAAGGTCATTTTTGGCCTCTCCAGGGGTAGTCATAGACTTCCATAGACATCACTTTACTCACAGCAGAACCCACGATGGCTAGCACTATGCAGATGACCATAACCCCTCCTCAAACTAGAAGGACCTCCATGTCTTACTGAGGTTCAAATTCTGTCACTGTGCGTGCAGCAGCAAAATGGTAACACCAAATGTCAGAGGCAGCTTCAAATCCTTTCAAATGACATGAAGTCGAAGCAGAACCACAGCAAATGCTTGTGACTCAAAGGACTGAGAATTCCCAGACACCAACATTCAAAGCCAAGATCACATATGACACGCACTAAAACGTGAAGCCTTTCCAAACAGGAAGACGGCCCTTACCTGTATCTTTCTCTTTATGTAGAATCCTGACTGCCAATCACAAGAGGGCGGGAACATCTAAAAGGCTCCTCACCACCCACATCCACTCCTGAGCCATTGCTGAATCTGTGAAGCTGGATGAGATGTGGAAGTGTAACTGCCCAAGGATGACGTCATCTCTAACCTGACCTCCTGACCTCCACAGAGAAGATACCACAGACATCCAGGTCACCTCCTGCCATCACTTACTTTCCTTCCAAGAGCTTCTTTCCATCTTAGAAAGTCTGAAGTTCTACCACATGTTACTCAGCCCACTTTTCTCATGGAAATACAAGCACCATGACAAATGGCACTCCTGACTGCTGACTCTTAAAAGCAGGGAGCAGAGGCTTGTGCCACAGCTCACTAGGCTAATCCTCCACCTGTGGCGCTGGCACACCGGGTTCTAGTCCCAGTTGGGGCACCGGATTCTGTCCCAGTTGCTCCTCTTCCAGTCCAGCTCTCTGCTGTGGCCCGGGAAGGCAGTGGAGGATGGCCCAAGTGCTTGGGCCCTGCACCTGCATGGGAGACCAGGAAGAAGCACCTGGCTCCTGGCTTTGGATTGGCACAGTGCGCCAGCCGTAGCGGCCACCTGGGGGGTGAACCAACAGAAAAAGGAAGACCTTTCTCTCTGTTTCTCTCTCTAACTCTGCCTGTCAAAAAATAAAAAATAAAAATAAAAAGCAGGAGACATAAAAGTCAACACAGCTCTTCGCTCTCACAGATCCTCTGCCTGGAATGGGGAAGGAATGACATTTTGTGTCATCTCTGTAATTTGCCAGCTCTCTGCCACACTATCTTGAAGAGATATTTGTTGTTCTGCAGCCACAATAAAAAGTGACTTCTCCCTATTTCTCTGATATTCTTATCCTCAATATCCTTATAAAGACTAAGTCCTTGGGGCCAGCGCTGTGTGCATAGTGGGTTAAGCTACCATCTACAGCACCAGCACCCCATACGGGCGCCAGTTCAAGTCCCAGCTGCTCCACTTCTGATCCAGCTCCCTGCAAATGTGCCTGGAACAGCAGCAGAAAATGGCCCAAGTGCTTGAGCCCCTCACTCCCAAGGGAGACCTGGATGAAGCTCCTGGCTTTATTTTGGCCAGCCCTGGCCACTGTGGCCATTTGGAGAGTGAACCAGCAGATGGAAGATATCATTCTCTAATTCTGATTTATAAATAAGTAAGTAAATCTTTAAAAAATAAATCCTATAAATCCACTTTGTCTTTCTTAGTTTTTGGAACTTTAATTCATTTTTAACAGATTCAGTGTTGTTTGGAAATCCACTTTAAATAATGTAGAACAGAACAGGTTGAAAGACGCACTATACAAACTCTAGGGAAGAAAATGCTAACTAAAGAAAAACTGTTTAGCAAATGGAACATCTGGCATGATGCTTAACTTTCTTCCATGAAATCAACCTCATTCTCGATTCTTTGGATAGCTTTGTCTCCCATGCTCTAACGGCAAAAAATCTTTCCCTTTCATGGAAAGTGAAAAATTCACGGAAGGGGAAGGACTGACATGAACCAGATATGAGTGACACAGTGTCAAGGTGTTCATACCTTGTAGGATGTCCCCCACCCCCCATCCTGCCACCGAAGTACTCTGTCCGCTGTATGATGAGACCCTGGGTGTTGCCCTAGTAGGAGTTAAAGCACATTTCTTTTCAGGTTCTCCCAACCAAGCTCTGGTTTTCCAGGTCCTCTGAGATCCTTTTTCTCCCTTCACAAGTCGGGGGGAACTCAGACTGTAGAAATCACTTGTCTTTTTTCCTCTTTGCCAACATCCAAGACACTGGCCACCAAAATGTCTCCCAGGAATGGACATCTTGGTTACCAGGAAAAAAAAAAAAAACCAATGTTCTAAGGAGTTAGGTCTTGAGGTTACAGCAGGAGACTCCACTCAGGGTCAGGGCATCCAGCTGCCTGTGTGATCAGCCCCATCCTCATCCCTCAGCCTGACCTTGGAAGGAGTGACAAGGTACTGACACTGACTACACATGGCCAAGACAGCTGAGGGCATCTTGGGTCAACACCCCAGACAGTTGTGAAACTGGAAATGACAGAGGGCTAGGAACAAGTCATGGAGCCATGTAAGGTGGCCAAAGAGAAATCACAATTAAAGACATTCTGATGTCTACACTTGGGGTCAGCCCCATGGCATAGTGGGTAAAGCCACCACCTGGACCACTGGTTCAAATCCTGGCTGCTCCAGTTCCAGTCCAGCTCCTTGCTAACACACCTGGGCAAGCAGTGGATGATGACACAAGTGCTTGGGCCCTTGCACCCACGTGAGAGACCTGGATGGAGATCCCTGGATGGTTCTGCTATTAGCAAATATTAAATTTAAAAAAAGGGCCACGGCACCCCGGAAGGGCGATGCTGAGGTCAGCGTTCCGCGTTGGAGCCACTGCCCTGCCCCCAGGCCGCCCCGCAGAGCCCTCCCTCCACGACCCTGCCCGCCTCACCACACAACCCGAGGAGGAGGCGGGTCTCAGGGCCCGGGGCGGGGCCAGGCTGAAGTCTCCGCACGCAGCGACAGAAAACGACGCCCGAGGGTCTCCGCTGGGGCCCAGCCCCACCCTCCCAGGGAGGAAGGCCCTGAGGGCCAGGCTGGGGCCCTCGGCCCCACAGCCCGCGTTCACCCTCGCAGAGCCCCTGCCCTCGGAAACTCACCCTTCCCAGCCTCCCGGCGGCCCCCCGCGGGTCAGGCCTCGAAGTCCCCGCAGCGGCGGCCGTTGACCCGGCACGGAAAGCGGGAGCAGCACGCGGCTCTGAGAAACCGCCAGCAGGGCGCGCGCCCCGGCGGGGAGAGCCGGCTGCCCTGCGTGGCGCACAGCCCCGCCCTCCCGTCCCTAATTGGTCGGCGAGTCAGGACCCGCCCCCGCTGAGGCTTGACTGACAGGGAAGCGGTCCTCTACGTGGCGGAGTGGAGCAGAAATGGCCTTCCAGATCGGACAGCGGCTTCTTCCTGTGCCCAGTGGCCCCTACCTGCCTCCTCCTCCTGGAACTGGAATCATCACAGGGGTGACCAGGGCATCCCAGGCTCCCCGTGATCTTGCAGAAGGAGGGCGCCCTTCTCAGCAAGAGGAAATAATCCAGCGTTGGAGGGCCAAATGTATAAAGCCAATATGAATGGAAATTTAAAAAAAGAGCTGGAGTCTAACAGTGAAAGTAGGGCCTTTCACACCTCCCGTGCAGCAATGGACACATCACCCAGGCAAAAAAACAAAAACAAAAACAAAAACAAAAACAAAAAAAAACCAAAAACACCATGGGCCAGCGCTGTCTGTGATACAGGTGAACCACCTGGGAACACCAGGCTGAGAAGTTCTGGTGCACCTCCTGCACCAAGGGCGTCTGAGGACACACAGGGCAGAGGGCAGGGCTCAGCCCAGCCTTGGGCAGAGGGGAGGCGTGCAAATGCCCCCTGCTGTGAACCCTCCAGAAGCCTCCATCAGCGTCCACCCCAAAACTGCACAGGACTCCCAGCCATCACCCCACCTGCCTGGATGTGATGCCCACACTTCCCACTCAGTCCCTGCCCAGAAGTCTTGAGTGAGGCCCATATGCTGGCTGCCCACCTAACCTCCTCTCCCCTCCTGTCCGTGGCTCAGGTGAGGACTCTGCATTGATGAGATCAGCAGCCACCTGAGGTCCCCACCACAGCACACACCATACACACTACACACACACACCATACACACCACACACATGCCATATATTACACACCATACACAACACACAGCATACACACACACCAAACTATACACACCAACACCACACACCATACACACTACACAAACAACATAAACACCACACATACGCCTTATACACCACACACCATACACACTATACACACCATACACCACACACACCATACACACCATACACACAATATATCACACACACTATACACACCATACACCACACACACCATACACACCATACACACAATATATCACACATACACTACACACCATACACGACACACACAGTACAAACACCACACATCATACACACCATATACCATGCATACACTACACACCATACACCACACACATACTAAACATCACACCATACACACTACACACACACCATACACACCATATACCACACATACACTACACACCATACACAACACACACACTGCAAACATCACACACCATACACACTACACACACACCATACACAGTATATGTCACGCATACACGACACACCATACACGACACACACAGTACAAACATTGCACATCATACACATCACATGCATGCTACACACACACAACACACATCATACACAATATATACTACACACCTACACCACACACCAGACACACCACACACCATACACCACACACCGCACACCAGACACACCACACACCATACACATATCACACATACCATATACCATACACACACCACACACATACATACCATACACCATGCACACACCACACACACTACATTCACCACACACCAGATGCCACACATATACACCACACAGCAGACACACAAACACATATCTACATGTGTATGTGTCCCATACACACACACCATTCACACACCTCACCCAGTACCAGACACATCTTCACACACACACAACACATTCACTACACACAGAGCTACCACATATACCCACACCTCCATCACACACATACCACTCCCCCATTATATACACACCCCATATACACACAGCATACACATACACACTACACACCATCACAGTACACAAACACACATGTGTGCACTGCATGGTTCTTTGGGCTTCAGAACCCCTCTTGCTGATGTCACCCTGCATCCTGGGCTGGGGGCCTCCAGCCCCTCCCCCTGCCTGGTCGGGGCCACCTCTGGCAGGCTCTCTGGCTGCCTGGCCTCTGCCTGGATGCCGCCCTAGCACCTCACGGACCCCAGTGGGCTCATCCTGTCGAGTGCTTGCCATGAACCTCTTGGAATCCCAGTTTTGGGATTCTAGGGCCGTCTCAGAGAACGGTCGCTATGGGGCTGGGGCCCAGTGTCTCCCAGTCACATCCCTGCCCCATGTTGGACCCTGGTTTTCATCTTCCTGGTCAGGGGGATGGGGGAGGGCTCTGTCCTCAGTGGGAAGGGCCAGCACCTGGTCAGCTACTCTCACAGGTATATACCAGCTGGTCAGGTGTGAGGGGCCCTGCCTGGACCCACCAAACGCATCCTGGCCTCTACCCACTCCTGGGAGGGGCCTCAGCCACCTGCTATCCATTCCCACCTGCTGCATTGACAGCCTCCTCCCTCACTGTCCACCACCCTTGTAACATGGCATCAAGATGGGCACCCTAAGGACCACGCCATGGTGGTCCTCAGAGGTGTGCTGGTGGTGCCTGTCCACCCCTCGGCCGCTCTCACCACCCCTGCCCCTACTGCCCTGCCCTCCCATCTTCCACCCCCCCACACACTGAGAAACAGCCCTTCAGCTCAGCATCAGCTCCCCGCAGGCTCCCCCCACCCCTGGGTACCAGAATCCCTAACTCACAACTGCAATCAGATCTGGACGGCGATGTCCAACCAAAGGCTTCTCGCTCAGTGAAGGCTGACTTGAGAAGTGAGGAGGGGACCTGTGGGGTCACACGGAACCCAAGGCGCCTCACAGAGCCCATGACCCCACAACCATGAAATGCCCCCATACTGGGGAGGGGAGTGGAATGGCTCTGACCTGGCTGGGTGGTGGTGTAGAAGGCCTGTGGGGTGGACCTCCCAAGTCGCTCCTCAATCTGGTGCACAGCCCTGAGTTGTTTTCTTTTTTTAAGATTTATTTATTTTGAAAGTCAGAGTCACACAGAGAGAGGGGAGGCAGAGAGAAAGAGAGAGACAGAGACAGAGACAGAGGTCTTCCATCCGCTGGTTCACTCCCCAATTGGTCACAATGGCTGGAGCTGTGCCTATCCGAAGCCAGGAGCCAGGAGCTTCTTCCAGGTCTCCCACGTGGGTGCAGGGGCCCAAGGCCTTGGGCCATCTTCTACTGCCTTCCCAGACCATAACAGAGTTAGAGCTGGATGGGAGTGGAGCAACTGGGTCTCAAACCAGCACCCATATGGGATGCTGGTGCTTCAGGCCAGGGTGTTAACCCACTGCCCCACAGTGCCAGCCCCAGCCCTGGGTTTTGATAGGAAACACAAAATGGCCCACAGCATGCTCACAGCACGCTCTCTCCTCCACAGCCTTCCCAGGGCCTCTGATTATTTTTTTTTGACAGGCAGAATGGACAATGAGAGAGAGAGAGAGAGAGAGAGAGAGAGAGAGAGAGAGAGAGAAAGGTCTTCCTTTGCCATTGGTTCACCCTCCAATGGCCACCACAGCCGGCACACTGTGGCCGGCGCACCATGCCGATCTGAAGGCAGGAGCCAGGTGCTTCTCCTGGTCTCCCATGGGGTACAGGGCCCAAGCACTTGGGCCATCCTCCACTGCCTTCCTGGGCCACAGCAGAGAGCTGGCCTGGAAGAGGGGCAACCGGGACAGAATCCGGCACCCCGACCAGGACTAGCACCTGGTGTACTGGCGCCGCAGGCAGAGCATTAGGCTATTGAGCTGCGGCACCAGCCCCTCTGATCTTAAGTTCTAGAAGTTTCCCAAGGGTGGGCATTTGTGCCCAGAGCTTCCAATGTCCTGGCATCCCATGCTGGATGGTGGAGTATTTGGTTCAAGTCTGGGCTCCACTTTTGATTCCAGCCTCCTGGTAGTGCAGATCCCCTAAGTGACAGGTGATTCCGGGCCACCCCCATCAGGGACCTGGACTGCATTGCCAGCTCCTGGCTTCAGCCTGGCCCTGTCCTGGATGGCACAGGCATCTGTGAAGTGAACTGGCAGATGGGATGTCTCTGTCTCTCTTACTGCTCTCATATAAACCTATCTATTTTAAAAGATTTGGTTCCCGTTTGTAGGTCTCTCAGTAGTGCCCCTCTGAAGCTGCCGGCAGCCAGGTGATGTGTCTGTGTCCAGCTCTGCTGCTCAGGGCCCGCAGTGGCTGGGGTCTGCTGTCCACCGGGCCTGTGACTCTGAGAAGCCTGCATGTAGCTGTACACACACCGAGGCTGCCCGTGCCCATCTGCACACTGCACACAGCTACACACCTCCGGGTGCACACCGTTCACACAGGCACAACTGCCGAGCACACACAAATCTCCCTGCCCCTGTACATGTGCCTGTACACACACACCCCATCTGCCACAACACAGGGTGGACCAGGGCGAACCCCAACAAGGCTTGGAGCTTGGCAGAGCCATCTGTGGCTTGGGTGAAGGTCCCGGATTGATGAGATTAGCAGCCACCTGAGGTCCCCGGCACAGCCAAAGCCGGGGGCAGAAGCCGGCAATGGAGGACACGCAGTATCTCCCCATCTGCAGCTAATCACTGGGGACCTGCAGACTGAAAGGTGGATGGGGTGTTGGGGGAGGGGGGTTATGGACCCTGTCTCAGGCACCCGCCTGTTTCCTCATCAGTGACATAAGGGCCAACGGGTGGTGGTCTAGGCCCCCCGGGAGGCACAGCTGTCAGCCTCATGTCCTGCCAGCCACCCAACCTTGGGCCCCATGACTGCTGCCCCCTGTCCCAGCCTTGCCCAGTCCCACGGCTCCAGGTCCAGCCAGGCCAGGGCTGGCACTTGCACCCTCCCTGCTCCCTGTGCAGTCTGAGATGAGGCTCTGTGTACTGGTGGCCCCTTCTGGCCTCGATGTCTCATTGCTGCCATGACAGAAGCCACCTTTGGTGACCAGGGAGAGGGCCAGGTGTCAGAGGGCCAAGCTCAGCTCCACAGCAGGCTCAAGGGGACCTGGGGGAGGGGGCAGCACCCACAGAAGCAGTGGAATGTGCAAGCACCCCGTTCTGGACAGCACCGCCCCTCCCTACCAGGGCACTCAGATCACAGCCAGCCAGGGAGGCCTCTTCCCTGCAGAGCCAGCAGCTCAGGCACCCAGGGCTCCTGAGCCAAGGGTCCCAGGCACCATCAGCCTGAGGCAGGGCACTGGGCCGGAGCCCACCCTGTGCAGGCCCAAGATGCCCCCGACCCCCAAACAGGCCCAATGCAGACAAGCAGCAGGGCTGTTAAAAGGGTTTGCTGCAACCCATGACCAAGCCACTAGGTGTCCGGGAGACAAGAGGGCCAGTGGCAGGGCAGCCCAGGGGTGCAGGGGTGGGGGCCGCACCAGAGCACCCCAAGTGCACAGGTGGTGGCAGAGCAGACGCTGGCTGTTCTCGCCTTCAGGAAATCGTCTCCCTTAGGGACATCTGTACTTCCTGGAGATGGTTCAGGACCCGCTCACCACGTAAATGCCAGGACACAGCCACGAGGAAGACGGCCAGCAGGTGGGGACCCTGCCCCAGCAGGAAGCA